GGTCCAAGTATATTGCACCAGTCGCCTGCAGAATGGGCATGGCAGTCTAGCCACTTGCATTCTTTGGCGTTAGTTTCGATGCAGGCAATCGTCAACACGACTAAATAATATAATTACACAAAACATATTTTTATTATATTTTATTAAACCGTATTCGGTATTATTATAGTTTAACAGCTAAGTACCATATTACATAATAAATTATAGTTTAGCACTCTCGTCTAAAAATTTTTGACAAACAAAAGTAAAAAAAAAGTGAAATTAGTGTGTAGTCGAATAACTAGATAAATATTAATATTAATGGGTACAGTGTACAGGCTCTGGTATTTGGGTCGTTTATTGTAAATGTGGTTAAAACCAGAACCCTTAGTTTCTTTGTTTTTCAAAACATGATAAAACAAAAATTGAAATTTTTTTTTACCGTACCTTTCATTTTTTGCGTTCTATTTTGTTCCAATACATTTTTATTTAAATTTAAAATCAAACCAACCCTGGCTAAAATCCTAGAGAATCAGGGCAATCATAATAATATTGTAATACCTGACCCGGTGGACAATTAATAATAATTTTTTTTTTTTTTTGTATATATAAGTGCAATACCAAGTAGAATTGTTTTTACTTAACCCTTTCAATCCCCAAGCACATTATTATGTGCACAACTGTTTTTTTAATTTTTTTAATTTTTTTAGTGATAACATATGTGATAACGATTTAAATATCAAGGAAATTGTAAATGTTGTATTTATGGTAAGTAAAGCTCGGATGATAATGACCATATATTTATTAAAATATGCATTTAAAAATATTAAAATATACATTTATATGCCTTTATTGAAATTGGCTAAACATTTTTGGCAGAGTTTTCAAATAGTCTACTTGACATAATATAAACAAAATATAATTTTTTTTTATAATTAAACTTACAAAATATATGTTACTAAATCTATAAATAATCATTATATGCTCGATAGTGTCAAATATGCATATATATGTTTGGTGATTTGAAATCTAGTCTTTGGGTATAACTCTGATTTTACTAAAAAAATATGTAGTCATAAACATCCAGGTCTTTAGTGGTAACTATATGAAAAAAAAATTTATATTTTATAAATTTGTTTTGGGACAGATAACATAATATTTAAATTGATTTTTTATAGGTATTAACATTATTATACCACTGAAATAATTATTGCTAACCAAAAATTAAACAACGCGGTTTTAGATAAATCTTTTTAGGGTGTTTATAGATATTAATAACTGGACAATTACCCAATGCGACAGCTAAAAAGATCAAGAATGTTCGTTGGTAAGTCATTGTGTTTGTACAATATGCAATTGACGACGTTGATGTTGTGGAAAACTGAGCTGTTGAGAAGAGCACAATGGTAACTGACAGAAATACAGTCGATGGTCAAGTCTTTTATACTAAATTATTAAAATATCTAAAATCATAATACCACTACTACTATTTGGGTAGGCACAAAACGTCATGACGTTGATGGGAAATACCGGTTGTTAATTTGATAAAATAATATGCAATTTGAACTGTTGGTTCTGTTTTTTAAAAAAATAGCTAACTCTACAAAATATACAAATACAATAATAAACGATAGATTTGCAAACGTGAAAGGCCATGTGCGAAAGGCATGAAAAAAAGAATATATCCGTTTGGTCATGTTTGTTTACCACCCAATCTAATTAGTATAATAATAAATTACTTCAACGAAACATACGTACTATAATGTTTAGATTTTCCGTGTAAATACTAAATTGTCTTATTGTATGCATTGCTTATCTGCGAACTAATAGTAGGTACCGTTCTAAGAAGTATAACTCTATTTAGTTAAAAAAATATGCTTGAACGAACAATCTGTTGGCAATCTCTACGTTTGAATTTGCTTTCTAATGCAATTTTTTCTTGCAATCTTTAAAGTAGCATACCAGAGTACATACCATAAATACCATAATTCAAACGGGCCATTAAATAAAAATTACTTTACCCACTTATCTTAATAGATTTTCTATTAATAATAGGAAAATAGAAACCCAAACAAAGTCTTTGTACCCATAGATAAAATACGATAATGTTCTTAAAAACAATTAGTAAAATATTAACAGACACTATTACAACAGTGTCTTATACCTACACTAGACATACAGAACGCTGAAAAGTGCAAATGACTTGTTCTTGTCATGAGCTATTTTTTATTTAAATATAAAGGTGTTAAAAGTTATTACTGAAATGTGTTATTTACCTATTTTGCCTGTTAGACAATCAAGTATACCGCATTTCCAATATTACATTGTCTAACTGGTAAGGTAAGTGGTAACTCTTCTTTCGAAAACCTATTGGCCAAAATAGAAACAAATTAAAAGAAAACTTAAACTTGTTTCCGTTAAAGACATTTTCCGCTTTCATATTGAGAAGAGAAGTTAAACTTACCTTATTTTTAAAAGGGTTAAAAGCGTATGACAATTTTTTTTTGTTGAAATCTGTTCAGTGGACACTAATGAAAGTGACTTTAATCTTTATCTGTATAAAATTAGGGCGTTTTCCGTTCCCCTTAACATTATAGTTATAACCTTTATAATATTAACCTAACTTAGATGTTGTCTGTGTATAAACAAATTAAAGTGTGTGGGGAGATGTTTTTACAAAATTTGACTTCAACTACTTTGACCTTACCATTGTTAAACTATATAATATATTTGTTCAACAATTACAATTATTATACAATACATTGAAATATTGTTGAATATCTACTTTCTTTTTAAGCATAGTCTGCGGTGAAGGTAAAGAGTTATTAGCCAACAATAATAATTGTTGTATTCGAAGAAAGAATTAAGATAATAAGGCGATAGCCAATAATACAATTCTAAGAATTGCGTAGTTCACCGTTTACTGGAAGTCCAAATAACATTTTGCTAATGCCTAATACACCCATATTACCTGGTATAAGATGACATATAAGTTATTCAATTTTCAAAGCAGTTTTAAAATTGTACTTCTACTTCGTCATTCGTCAACAATATTTTGCGATACTTTAGTAATGAATAGAACTAGAAAACAAATTTAGACACCCCCCCTAAATACGCCACTGAATATAAACATGTAGGTAAATTTTGCAATATTTACAAGAATAAAACAAAATTAAACCACTAATTATGACAGTAATATAATTCTAATGGCTTGCATAATATTGTTATGGCCAATCCTTAATGGAATTTTAAACATTGGATAACGATTACAGCCATAATAATAATTTCCTAAAACAATTAAAGGCAATGGACAATTAATAAGGTGGGTCGACGATTTTTTGACCAAATGTATTTATTATATTATATTTATACAAATAAATACCTATCTAATATAAAATATGTATAATGCCATTTTAACTACAACAATTGACCGTTATTAATGCGTTAGATAAAATAACTATATTTTTTTCTAAATATACCATTGTGTTATGATTTATGTGTATAGTAATATATATATATTATAATATTATTGTATAGACTTTTAACCGCGATTAAAAACCATTTTGCGTATTAGGTTTTCCCCATTGTTAATCAAATGCAAATAGGCACAAATAACACTAATCACTAAAGAAAAGGTAATCTGCTAATTTGTGATTCGGTTAAATGAAATATAAATTTACTGATTTTTTTTGGCCTATGCCTTAAAGAAATCCCAGATGTGAACTTACAGTTATGTCGAGTTTAGTATTTTCCGGATAGCTATTAAAAATGATTTTGCTTATCGCCAAATAGGTAAATAGGTCTTTATACAACAATATGAATGACAACAGCTATCGGCGCATAATAATAATTGTGATTTTAATTTCAGACAATTTGGACATGCACCAACCAAGATTATCAAAATAAATTCTGGTAAAAGGAAAATTGCATTTATTAAGGCGCATTGTATAGCCAAATTTTAACATTAAACACCTAACATGAGCTAAAATTTGTAAAAAAAAATATTATGTAACAAGAGGATTGAAAGCGGTCTGTTTTTTATTTGAACGTCTTACACCAAAAAGTTTAAGAACATTTTGACCACTCAAGATGGTCAAAATATTGCCTACCTTAACTCCTTAAAAACCTCCCGCTTCCAATTCCATTCACACAGAAAAGATAGAAATACTTTGATTTTTAATAATTTTTTTCTTTACCTTTACCCTAACCTGACCTAACGGTAAGTTATAAAAAGTAACTACATTTCCATTTAGAAACTGTCGTTATCTTTGCTGTGGTCCGACAATTTTTTCTAATTATTTGTTTTAATTTTTTATGTAGTTTTTGTATATAAAAAAAAAATGTTTAAACCGGGTATTCAAAAATATTGGAAAATAATAACAGCTCTATATTTTGCTTAGAAATTAGCAAAAAGATCTTCCCCATAATAATGACGATAATGTACTTAAATTTGAACTTTTAGTGTAACAGGTCAACATGCGTCTGTAACGATTTGTTGTGGTTGTTAATTATAGACCTGTCGACTGTTGGTTCATTCTTATGTGGCAACCTAGAAATTGACTAGGTACAGTCGAGTTGTAGTTTTCCCTTTTTTTGGTTTTTCTTTAAAATGTGCCATAGCCTCACAATGAACCTAACTCAGGTTCTACCTTTAGTCTAATCATGTTTACGGTTTGTCGGTAGTACCTTGTGTAATGAATATTCCATGCAAATTTAAAACTAAAATAACTCATTGACTGTTTTTTGGTCAAATATTTTAATAGTAATCCTTATTTTAGTTTTGTAAAGATTTAAACCACTCTTGTTTGATTATGACATAAAAAAAAGTTTTAGTGTAACGTCACTAAATTGGCCACTCATGTTATCGCTTTAATAGTATATTAATATTAATTATTATTTTTCAAAAGTGCAACACGTCATTGATGCGACAACATTTTAAATTTGTATACAGTTTATTTAAGTCATAAATTATTTAAATTATAATAATCAAAATGAACAAGAGTTTTTTTCGAAAAGCATAGTTAATCGTTGGGTGAATCGCCGTCGGATCCCGATTCGGAATCTTTGCCTTCGTCGTCTTCGTTTTCGATCGTACCCGACTGGCATTTCGTAGCCCATTCACTTCTCGGAACTGCGCATTTCGGACAAATGGCCAAATCGCTCGAGCACTGATGGCACGACGTGTGGTACGGCTGTTTGACGCATTTATTGTGACATTTATTGCAGTTCTTGGGCGCTTTCAACATTTTATACTTTTTGTATTTAATTTTCCATTCCAAGATGTCCTTACAGCGCGGACACACGCTGGTTATTTGCACGGCGTTCAGACGTTTGGTCCGAATGTTTGTGTCGTGCAAATTGTTTTTGAACGCGAAACGGTTCTGATGTTTTTGCGGTCGCACTCGGTGTGCGTTTCCTTTTTGGCTACTCATTTTGCTAAAATAAAATTAAAAAAAAAACTAAAATACAAACGAATTACAAAAGTAACAAACGCAAGAGTTTAGAAATACACGTCATGTACTCGTACATACCTTGGCTATGGAAATTAACTTCCAACAAACTGAACAACGCGATTCGATTGTCAATTAATAATAACAACAATAATCTCAAGTCTTAACTAATAACTAAATGTTTTTATTTTCGAAATTTTGTTCGACAAAAAAAAAACGTGTGCGAGTGCGCTGTTGATTATCGCTTATCAATCGAAATAATGATAAGTTATCAGTGATAACAGTAATTGATAACAGATACGATGTGATAACAGTAGTTGATAACAAATACGATGTGCATAGATTAAATTCATGTATTTAGTCTATGCTATGTGATAACAGATATTGTATCAACTCATGGACACATTTATTTGAAGATTCAACCACAGAACAGAATAAATAATAAATAATCAACGAACTAATCTATTCTGCGATTTAACAGTTAAACAGGTACATAAATTTTACATTTAAGACTTGTTGTTCGGGCTGTGTGCAAAAACGAACCATGGGCAAGTCGTCGAAAGACAAACGCGATATTTACTATCGGTTGGCCAAGGAACAAGGCTGGCGAGCCCGCAGTGCGTTCAAGCTGATGCAAATCGACGAGCAGTTCGACATCTTCAACGGGGTAACGCGCGTGGTGGATCTGTGCGCGGCCCCCGGCAGCTGGAGTCAAGTGTTGAGCAAAACGTTGTATGCCAACAAGTCGGACAGCGAAAAGAAGGACGTCCAAATCGTGGCGGTCGACCTGCAGTCGATGGCGCCCTTGCCGGGTGTCGTCCAGCTCAAAGGCGACATCACCAAAGAGAGCACGGCCAACGCCATCCTATCGCAGTTCGGCGACGAGCTCGTAGACCTGGTAGTTTTCGACGGAGCGCCCGACGTCACCGGCCTGCACGATCTCGACGAGTACATCCAAGCCCAACTGCTGTTGGCCGCCCTCAACATAACCACGTACTTGCTAAAACCTCGGGGCACGTTTGTCGGCAAGATATTTCGCGGCAAAGACGTTTCCATACTGATCGCCCAGCTGGAGATATTCTTCGACGACGTGGCCATAGCCAAGCCGTGCAGCTCGCGCAACTCGAGCATAGAATCGTTTGTCGTGTGCCGACAGTTCCGATTGCCCAAAGGATACACGCCGACCATGGCCAATCCACTGATGACCAACGACTCTAGGACGTGGAGCGAAATGGGCGTCCATCCCGTAATAACGCCGTTTGTGGCCTGTGGCAGTTTGAGTGGCTTCGACGCCGATAAAACTTACGCTCTAGAAATAGACGGCCTCGAGTATACGCATAGGGATCCGGTTCAGGGTCCAATTTCACCGCCGTATGAAAAATCAAAACCCTTAATTACTACCAAAGGCAAAAGTGTTGTAGAAACACAAGAAGAAGCTACCGAATCGATGGAACGGCTACAGCTTCAATGATAACTTCGTATTATAATCTGACTATATTTTTTATATTTGATATTGTATGGTGTTTATCGTGTACAGACTCTTGTAAATATATATATAAATATATTTATATTTGCTTTTTAAATAAAAAAATTATCATTAATGCGTCGTCTACTTGAACGTAACATTTGTTTAAAGGTAAGGCCATCACATTATGATCCACTCGCTTAACTCTATCGACGACTGTATCTCGGCAAATGTATAAGTTATAAAATAACTTAAATAAATCTATAAGTTGTAACACTAAAAACTAAAAAAATGAAAAACCACAATATTATGATAGAATTTTTGGCATTTATTTGCAAAAAGAGAAATATATCTTTTATACTTAAATATCATCTATATACATAAACAATTTGTAATATTAACGTATAAAAAAGTTCAACTACTCGTCGTAACTTTTAACAAAAAAAAAAAAATTACATTTTATATATTATACTATTAGGTGATCGACTAAAACACTAATGGCATTGATTATACTCGTCCATTATATTTATATAGCTGTTTGTTGTTAGCTTCTATATTAAAATAAATACATAATATTATAACTATTTAACATTTTGATTCTATAAGGTCCTTTTTTTTTTGTCAATTTTAATAGTTCACATAATTGTTTTACTACGCCTGTCGACGCTATGGTAACAAATCGGAATTAATTAACGTAATAAATAACAGCGAATCGACTAAACAGAATAAAAAAAAAAATGTACCTAATAATAAAAGTACAAATACTATGAATTCAACAAAACCAGCAATCTGGTATTTTTCCTTATAATATTTAGACACATTACATTTACGCTAGTCGCTATCGTATGAATCTATAAACTGTTTTTGGTTGTACAAGATTTTTGATTTCGCTTAAATCGAAGAAACGCAAATGGCGTTTTTACATTTTAATAAACCTAAAAAACTTCTTTTCTCTTTGTAAAATTATTATATTAGGTATTTATATATATATATTATATTTTATTACAAGTTTTGATTTTTCAAGTAAAGAACAAAATAAATAAATAAAAAAAAAACTGTTAGAAATGCCCAACGTTATTATATAAATGCGTATTAGTATCGGTTTTCGTCTACGCGTTGCCGAGAGATCATAAGACGTCCGGACGAATCTTCTGCACTCGGCTTAGCGTACTGAAAAATAGTCAGTCCTTGACGTTGTGCACGACGTGGCCGCCGAAACCGTTTTTGTTGTTGGACAGCAACTCGCCGTTCCTCTTGGCGGTCCGCTTGACGACGTTGCCGCCGAAGCACACGGACGAACTGGAGCTGACGCCGGAGTCCGATGATTTTTCACTAGAAGTACACGAATTCACTTTGGCGGACGAGCAGGCGTTCGAATTGGAATTGTTGTCTCCGCCGAGCCGTTCCTTGACGCTTTTCTGCGCTTTCTTGCCGTACTCTGGCGACGACGACGACAGCGGTGCTTCGTCGTTGTCGGGCGCGAACCGCGGTTTGGCCGTCGTCTTGACTTTGGCGCCGGCGGCCACCGTGCGACAACCTCCTCCGTCTTGGGAATCGTCGCAGCTCGGGTCGGTTTTGTTCTCCTCGGTGCTGCTGCTGTCGTCTTCCGGGGCTGTGTACCGGGAGGACACATTTGTGTTAGTCGTGACAATGTAAACAGTGTGAGACAATTATTATTGTTGTTGTATACTTACACTGATAGTCGTGCATGACTTGAACGGCGGCTAATATTTTCGCTCTCTGTTCCGGGGCCACGATGCCCATGTAGTCGAGGTCGGCTTCGCGTATCTCACAAAAAGACTGCAGATCTCCGAAACCGTTCTTGGCGAACACGGACATCTGTTCCTGCGTGAACGGCAAAAAAACAACGTTAGAACTTTTTTTTTCAAACATCCAATTTTTAAAACAAATTACTACTACCTCCATTCCTATCGTCCTCAACAGCTGATGCAACGACTTGGGCCTGTGCTTTGCGGCGTTCTGCGGTTTGCTCTTTTCCAATCCGTTACTCTCGTGGATTAACGGTTGGACTTTGCCAAACTTAAAAGTGCCTATTTTATCACAGCCTTTCACCATACCTTTCCAGTTGCCGCTGGCGTTCATGGTAGTCACGAGTATGACGTCTCCTTTCTGTAAACACACACACATAACGTGAAATCAAAAACAAAACATTATCTCCGTTCTACGGTAAAACGTCGAGTCGTAGATGTGAGTTTAACAAGTATGATGTGCGTGTATGATGATATTATTGAAACATTTAATTATAGTTTAACGTTTATTTAATTCCAGAAAACTGTCTAAATTTGAAAAAAAAATATTCTTGAAGCTAAAACGTGACACTTTAGCAAGTTATCAGTTTTATCTGTTTCTTGATGGGCTGAATATTGATAACAACAGTTTTTATCGTGAAATATCGAGAGAGTGATTGTCATATTACAGCTTTAAGAGTATTTTTTCAAGTCGTATACATTTCAATTGATTTTCAAGTTAGCATTAAAACTTTCATTATTGATCAAATGCAAAACAAAATTCACGATAAAGTAAGCTTAAGCTAAATTTTAGTGATTTGGATAGGCCATAACTATCGTTTGGGAGGTAAGTAAAACAGTATTTTTAAGACAGTCTAATATATTTACTAGATTAATTTAGATAGAGTAAATATTACAATGATAACTGTGTCACTAGATTTAGCAGCGTTTAAAGTGTGCACCCAAATTTTAGATTGACCCTGACCGGCTCAGAACCGATAACCGTATATAATAACACACAATTTTTCTAGTCTACGAAACAAACATAATTGTATGGCGTTGATGGTATTTACGTTGAATTTCAAAGTATCTCTGTCGTATGGTTTTGGACTGCTGTTGGCGACGGCTCGGGCCAGGGCCAGTACTTGGACGTTTTGAGTGCCGTCGCAGCTACTCGGTGACTCTTCGGAACTGTGCGACGCGCCTCCCATTAGCGCTTGTACACCTATCGAACAAAGTGTGATATTATTGCATTAGTCAGGTACACAAAATACAATAGCACAATATTACTGGAAGCGCTTGGCAGGCTTTCGGCCGAACTGTGGTGCCGGTGCGATCTCTGTGTTTGTTTGTAGTGTTTGACCGAAGCCCTGGATCGATGCCGTTTACTGTGACGCTATAATGAAAATAAAAAAACCAAATATATTTATTTAATTTTTATAAATGCATATATTATAATAGGTTAGGTTAGGATTAGTTATTATATATATATGTATAGTTACGGGTGACTGTAGAAACGAATCCTCTTGGTCGGCGTAGTCCGAACTGTGGCCGGGCGAAACCATGTTGTCCGTACCCTAAGTGATACAAACAAAAGTTACAACACATGAGATGACACACAGTTGGGTTAGATGGAGTGGTTATAATTGAATTTTTTAACACTCACGTTTGTCCTGAGCCTGTGGTACAGTTCTGGATCGTAGTCGGACCGGTTGGTCTCCACGGACAACGAAGACATCCTAGAGCTAAGCAATAAGAAAATTTCATCAGTCAAAATTAATTTACAGAAAATAACCAGTTTATGTCAAATGATGTACATTCTTTGGAAATAACACCTAAACCGGGATAATATATTTTTGATTAAGGTATAAATATTTTTTTTTTTATACCAACACAAGTCGACAGAAGAAACGGGAAATGAACAGTGGAATTTATGAATTATATTATTTAATAATATATTATTAATATACATTCTTCTGTTTATTGTTAAGTGTTTCCGGTTAGCGCACGAATTTATTCGAAAAAGTTAAATCATTATTAAGCTTTTGTTAGTATAAAATAAAATAGAAAACCAGCAACAACCGCAACAGGTGATAGTATTATTATTATTTTTCAGATTAAAGTAAACATTTCAGGATGTTTTTTTTTTTGGCAAACGGTAATCTCGTTTGAACTAATATTGTTTTTCGTTTGTACCTGACCAACACACGGCTTTGGTGTTTTTTTTTTAAATTTTATACGAGTGCAAAATTATTGCGGTTTATGTTTAACGGACAGTATTGTTTTACGATTTTTATGCGCTATTTTTAATTAACGCGTTGTGTTTATTTAGAAAAAAATTCTAAAATAGCATCCAAATGTCGATTTAAAAAAAAAAAATACTATCAACCGAATTCATAACTGGTGTTTTTATTTTCAGAATTAAATGCAAAAGGGCATAATATTATGTAAATTCTGATTTTGCGCCTATTGCTGCAAAATTATTTCATTATTTTCAAATTTCTTATTAAAACAAGACATTTCCGCCATTTTTTATATACCTAACCAAACTTAACCCGACCGATTGAGGATATAAAAAGGACAATGGCCAAAATGGTTTTTTAATTAAGTACAAATTTCTAATAACCGAAAATTACAATGATAACAATTTTTTAAACAAATTACTTAAGATAACTCGTTATATAATTAATAATATTTCACAACACATTTTGACATTTTCATGTCTTAGCTCTGGCACATAACCGAAAAAAGTGTTGCAAAAAAGCGTTACGCTGTTATCTGATAAGAGAATTAGAGACGAGGGGTGGGGTAGGGGTTGGGAATGGGGATTATTTAAATACAGATTTATCATTTAAAGTTTTATCAATATACATAATATTTATTTTTATTTTATTTATTTCCTTTTGTTGTTTTAATAAAGCACAATTTTGTTTGTGTTTTGTGAGTTTTTATTAAATAATTTTTCAATTGCAAACAATTATTGGAATTTTTTTACCTAACCTAACTTAACCTGTAGGATTTCTTCAACAGCTGACCTCAACCTAACCTAACCTAACCTAACCTAACCTAACCGTATGACCTATAAAGTCTAGAGATGAATCGGACGAGTTAGTTTAGAGTCATCGAATTTGGGCATGAACGGGTAAGTGGTAATTAATAGGTAATAAGGCAAGTGTGTTTTTGTTTTTAAATGTTTTTTTACCATATACTCTGTATGTCCGACGTCGCATAGTCTCCGCTCTCTCGGTTCTGCCTCTTCAACGGTATGATGGTGGTGGGCTGACCCGAACCGGAAGCCGGCAACAACAGGCCCGTTTGTCGGTGACCTTGACCCGACAGCGATATGTCACCGGCGCTCCTCAACGAGATGACCGAACCCGAGTTTTTGTTCTTGGCCGGTTTGTGCTTGGTGTAACCGTAGTACACTCTGAAAATGCAAACAAAGAATAAAATACAATCGCTTCTGGCCTTGTCGTCACTCTCTCAAAAAACAAATAACCAAAACCAATAACCTAACCTAACCGAACCGAACCTAACCTAACCAAACCTAACCTAAATGGAAACACAGAATAAGTAATCGATTTTGTCCTTTATCCCTCTCTCTTTTTTACAAAAAAAAAAACAAATAACCAAAAAACCAATCTCTGACCTAACCAAAACTAGCCAAACTTAACCTCCTCACCTAACAAAATAAAATTAAAATTTTTTGTTTTTAAAAGTTACGGTTTTTATACGCAGAAGTGACGAAAAAACGGACGCGTTCTTTGCTAACTGTTTAATGGAAACATGTCTTCAAGCTAAAATTATTATATCCTTTGTTACACCTAAAACAAATGTTGATTGTAATATCAGCTTCGATCCGTTAAACGTAAGTTTTTTCTATTTACTATGTTTCTATTACTATGTTTAAGTGTTCTATCTTGATTTCAAATGGGAATGGGTGAGCTTTTTTATTCTACCCAATCTGGAGCAGGTGTTTTGGGAGGTAGTCAAATGGTAATAAGATTTTACGGGCAAAAAGATATGACGGGGGAGGAAATGGAGATAAGAGGATATCGGTAATCCCCGGATAATTGATAAAAGATTGTTGATAAGAGAATTAGCTGATAGTAGAGATGATTGATAAGAGAAATTCGGAAATCCCCGGATAGCTAAAAAAAATACAGAATATCAGCTGATCACCTGTTCCAGGTAGAACTAAACGGGATTTTTCAAACTGGACGCCTCAAATAATGGACTCGATCTTGTTGATCTTCGATGAAGACCTACTCTCATTTTTTTTTTTTTTTATGAATTTTGGCCGTGTAAAGTTAAAGCCTCACAACACTGCTACCAACACCACTGGTACTCACCTGCTGTTGGCGTGTTCCATGAGCAGCTCTTCGGGGTCCGACTCGTAGGGCGGTTCGTCGTACCAATGTCGCAACATGTCGTCATCGTACATGTAAGTCTCGTCACCCCCGCCACCGCTGCCGCCACCACCCCTGGACTTGTATGGTCCGGTCGGTGCACCGCCTCCGCCACCGTTGCCGTACCGCAACAGGCCGTGTTTGATTTCCCTGAGTATGTCTTCGTGTTCCCGGTCGAACCGTTCCTTTTTGATCATAGCTTCTTGGACTTTTAACTGTTAAAAAAAAAAAACCAAAAAAACACTTATTCATTTTCTCAGCTACACGGAAAAACATTGAATCGTAGGTATGGTTTTGCGGTTTATTGTAGTACATATCACTTATCTCGTGTCTTTTATCACTTATCTATTATCTCGTGTCTCTTATCACTAATATATTATCTCGTGTCTCTTATCACTACGGATATAAACTAGATTACTAAGTGTACATGTAACCCGTCCAGTTCATATTGAGCCTTAGGGCCGTATTTATAGACAGTTCTTAAGAACAAGCATTGCTTAAGAACTGACTATAAATACGGCCCTTAGCGACCGTTACTACGGTTTTCCATTTATTAGGGGTTGGTAGAACCGTCAGCGCAGCTGAAGTGTTGCCAACGTTATCGATACAGTAAATTGTGATGTTATCAAACTTCTACTAACATTTATTTGAAGTTTCGACATATTTTATTTCCACCGCGAACACCCGAATTGCTCAATGTACCTTTTTTCACTTTGCCGTCCAAGTTAAACGGACCGAACCGCCCAGAGCCCAAATGGTCCACAACCGCCTACCCCAATCAATTGCCGTCCATCCCCTTCCAACCCCCGGGACTTTTCCGGCCACCGGTGTGCGCTATTGTCGTATCCAAGACCGTAATATACATTCTCGCAAAGTACACACACACACTGTTATTGCTATATCAATCCGTACGTGATGATGTTGTTAGTACCTCTACCGCGGTCGCGGTCGGGGTGTGGTACGTGGTACGCCGAGTTTTGGTTTTATTATTTTGTATTTTTTTATGAGCCTCCCCCCCCGACCTAGGGGTGGCGCGGTTAGTATTCGAGGGGGCAAAAAAAAAATACAAGACAAAAGATACGCCGTGCCACGCGTTTTCCGCACGGACGTCGACCGTGTACAACCACCACCCTCGGTCGTCCCTTAACGTGCCCTCTCCTCTCGGGGTCGCGCCCTCCCCTTCGTTGCCCAACAAGATTAATGTTACCCCGGCCGGCAGTAACGCAACCTTTAATGGGTCCCCGCGGTCGTGAAACGCGAGCTAGCATTAACCTAACACACACACACACACCATACACGACACTGGGCCACGCAAAACTAATAACGTATCCAGAAAAGCAAAGAAAAAGAGGGTGTAAAAAAAAAAACAGCAACATTTGGTTTTTCCTCTCTTTTTGGTCGAGCCGTTGAAAAGTTTTTAATGACGCTTCGGCGCTCGCGCCTCGCCTAATCCGACTTTAATGTTGTTTATTAGTTTACACACACACACACACAGAACAATCGTACATAGAAAATACGAGGTGGTCTAAATGTCACTGTAACACCACGGAATCGAAACGAAACCAGATATTATATATTCTACACGCTATTTACCACGAGAAGGTAAACTGATAAGGGATACTGATAACAAGTAGTCGATTAACGGCGGTCGACGGTGATAACAATACAGATGTTTGATAGTATTTCTTTGACCTCACTGTATAACGGAAACGTTATTTTTTTCATCGTTTGGTAATACTGACTTGAGACTATTAGGGTTTGTTTGCATTTTTCGATTTTGTAAGAGTAACTGGTTTTATATAATCTGTGGTAAAATCGTGTAATGCCTTGTGCTCAGCAACGAAGTAATCAAGGAGGCAAGCGACAGTGTGACCACTTTAAATAAAAATAAATACTTTCTTTTATAAGTTTGCAGTATCACCCTTATTAGTTATATAGATCAATATATATAGATTAAAATTGCATATGTCAATACAATAACGTGATATTACGATAACTGATAAGTCGTATGGTTTGTCGCAGTGAAACAATTAAAAAATATGTACTAGAGAAATGTAATCCCGCCATTCTGGTTATACTGCAGCTCGCCTTTTCGTTTGCTTCATAATATTTAAAAAACACGTTTTTTAAAACATAAAATCGTTATTTCATTAAACCATCAACATTTCTCTTGACTTGGATAATATGTTTTTAGCCTGAGGGTTAATCTAAACATTTTCACGTCATGAAAGCTGTTTGTGGGCGTTTTGCTCGATATCAAAGGGGAAGGGTTAAACTTTTCGAAACTCAATAAAGTACTTTTAAAGTACGATTTCTGATCGTTAGACTTGTTACATAGCAGTTTAACTCTTTGAGCAGCCGCGGTTAGTGTATTAACCACTTTTGATATGGTCCAGGACCATTGGTCCTTCATAAGGGTAGTGGTTAATTTTTCTTAGGATTTTAAAAATTTCATTATTTTTACCACACCGTTCGCCCGAAGCTCGAATCACCTAACGCGGGACACCCGGTACAATATGTACAAGCGTAAAGATACTATTATAGCGTGTATTATTTTCTCTATAAAAATTGAGATAGAGAGAGAGAGAGAGAGAGTAAAACGACAGTGGCAAGTAAGAATAAAGGTAGCGACCGAAAAACAAGGGGTGAGGGTGGGTGTAGTCGAAGGAAAGTTTATATGTAGAATCTATAACATGTATAATGTTATATATGTTATACGTCTGGCGATAAAAATAAACAGTCTGCCGAAAAAGCAAAGAAAAAAAAATATAACCGGTAGCTTTGTAGTTTTAAAAAAAGATTTTCCTTTAGGGCGTGTGCCAATAAAAAAAAAAAATAAATAAATATACCTACACCTAGTCCTGTGCGGAATAAAATATATGCACACGAGGAGGATTTCAGGGCGAGATATTTAAACACACCGTATATATTGGAATGTGTTTGTTCCTTTGGGACGGCTTCAATCGTTTGAGTCTTAAGATGCAAAAAAACAATATAAACCGGTAATGATATGGAAAACAAAATGGGCGCGTTTTACCCGACACCACAATGTATATTTTGCACCACCTGTATAACTGCGGGTGACGGTTTACACGAGTCGTTGGAAATAAGACAAAACGTCATTTGGAAGGTGTTCTAGTTTGTAAGCATGCACCCCAACCAACTGTCCACCGGCGAAGAATCAAACAAACACTTACAACATATAACATTTTACATTTATAAGTTAACTATGGAAAATTTTTAATAATTACACTTACAACTATTAATATGCTACTAAATCTAGAAATAGTCATTATAGGCAAATATATGCTCAAATGTGACAGTATTTTGTAATCAGTAAAAATTCTAGTTATGGGTAAACTATGTAACTAACCTAACCCAACCATAAACCGTGTATTCAATTGCGAATCGCTAATAACACAGATTAAAGCGTTTCTAATCTCACTATTCTTGTCAATTTCTTATCGTACATATTTTATCAGCCCGTTCTTATCACAATTATATACCTTATTGGCTGTTTTTCTAATCATCAAGTAATTTATTATCAACCGAATACCACAGTTTTTATCACTTTCTTATCATATCTGTTATCAGTTTGTCTTATCAGCTGATTACATCAATATTTTTGTTACACTTTATTTTTGTCCACATCAAGCTTAATATAATTTCTTGTTCACCATTGTCCGTAGAAGAGGGGGGCAGTTTTTGTTTGCTTTCTTTGTATACTATAACTTCAATTTTGTACTTACCCGATGAATGGTTTCTTCAAATCCGCCGGCAGGGTGGTTGCCGACAATGTTCCTGTTGGCCGCCGACATGGGCATGCAGCGGTTCCTATTATCCATCATTGTCATGCCTAGACAATCGGGTGTGTTGGCCTGAAATAAGGTTTAAGCAAGTTCATAAATATTGCAAGAACGTTGATCGGGCTTGGGTTTAAAAACCAAGTCACAAATAGCTTAGTTTTAAATTGGTCTACAAAAAATGTCAGAATTTAACACGAACTTGTCATAAGCCAAGTAAGCCGGGGTAAGAGCAAAATCTGGTGACCTATGGTAAAAGATAAGAAAGTGTGATAAGGAGAGGCGATAAGAGACAAGGAGGAGTGATACATTTTTAGGAATAAGCGTGTGTCAAAAGCATGTGTAAAAAGAGTGATTAAATGTAATACATTTCTAAAAAATAAAAAATACTGCTGTCTGATTTTCCAGAAAACGTGGACTGTGAATACCGGTTCTTGTTTTTATTTCTTACTGCCAATTTTTACTACATAATAATTTTTGTCATAACATGGCAGAAGGGTCAAGGCAATCATCGAGTTCATTAGACCAGAACAAACACAAATCAGATAATTATGGCTGTATTTACTTATATATATATATTTTTGGGGCGACAGGCCAAATAGGGTCGTTCGGAATTCCATTATGGCGACAAGCAGAGAGGGTGAGTTTCGATCGAATATGCTCTTACAACGTTTTAATACCCCGGCGACATGTATTTGCATGTAATTTTGATTGTGATCTTAAGTAAAAAAAAAAAATATAATAAATACTGTATTTTGAAAATAACCCAGTATGTGGAACTTACGAGGTCAGTAGTCGGCGTACAAACCAAGTGGATGTATTCATCCAATCTAAAGTAGCCAATCGATAAAAATAATATACGAGTACAGGTAGTATCGTTTAGGGCACGAAAAAAATCCCACATACAGTAAAAACCCAAAGAAACATCTCTTTTTGTGTGTAGTTTTAAGAACCAATGTCTGAGAATTAAGGTAGATCATTTGAACATACATTTTATTTGAATGAATCTCGCCATCCATTCTAAATGGCAGTAGATACAATAAATGCCGAAGACTTGTGCTTGCTTTTCATAAATTTTAGACACACACCACAACAACATAAATGTCTGCGCATGCATACACTATTTCTTGTAATGTTTTCAAGTGTATAATACAATATGTTAACGGAAGTTTGTGCCGTCGGTAAGATCTAATAAGAGATGCCTTTGATGTCGTTCGAGTAATGATTTCCGTCACGTTACCCGTGATTGCGCGGCAGGCACAAAGGGATTTCCGGTCGGCCTAATGAATGTCTTGTTGCGGGAAAGGGGAACAAGATGATAGGACTCGCCCACCGCCGACTAAAACAGGGTGAAAATTAAGTATTAACTGTCGATTAGTTTCTGGAAAGTTCAACAACGACCATTTCATTAGTTCCCCATCGTCGGATATTGTCGGAATTTGTCCGTTGCTATCCCCAGTTTAAACCCGTACACGTAGGTTTGGTAATACAGTTATCTTTAACGCTGAGAGGGAAAACAAATGCGCCGTTCTCGAGCCTACAGGTTGCCCCGGGCTATCCTTAAGGATAAAAAATGGTCTCCACGGGAAACGATTGGCGCCTCCTTTTGCAAGACCCTCTTCTTGCCTGGACTTGCCCGTCGAAGCCGGATCATGATTAATTCAGTCGTTTCGCGGGCTGAGCCGAAGAAGGGTGGTGGTCGGGGCGAGGATACCTCAATCTCACCGGTCGAAAGTTCCATTAGGTTTTATGTGTGTATGTATATGTGTTTAGATAAAACGCCGTCCTAATCGGATAAATCGCGTACGGATACTTACACGGGTAAACGGTGACTTTTGGCAACACCTACACAAACCCATATAGGCTGTACATATATTATTCTAGAGCTCAGGCCCACGGCCAACACACCGAAATACACAAAAACGGCGCTATACTTTTTTTTTGGCCGGCAACACGAAGTAAACACGAGAACGATATTATCCAACCGAGTGGTTTTTAATTGCAACGTCGAAGAGCTTTGGTTCGATTGACGTTTGATCGATCACTATGGAAATACCGAAAAGCGGATATCATGACAGATAAGCCGAGAACACTAAAAACGTGTCGGAATCAAAACGGATTGTGTTTAAAAGACAATTTTCAAGATAAATATATTTTTGGGTTGATACGAGAAATTTAACGTCGCCATTTTCAAAAATATTAAGTGATTAGAGATAAGTGATAAGAGCTAAAAGCGAAGAAAATAACTGGGTTTTTTTTAGGATTTACATTTTGGTCACACTGAACATACTCAATTTTTGGACTAAACCCGTCATCGAACACACCCGTATTAAAAGATGATTACTACATTGAAAAAGACTGTTTTGCTATCATGACAGTCATCCCGAGCTAATTTAACGGATTCCCGGATAGCAAATTACATTAACTCAGAGTTATGCTAAAAGCAAAAAAAATGTTTGAAATACCCCAAAATAAGATGTTCTAAAAACACAATCAAGGGATCTTCCAATCCGAAGACTTCAAAAATCTAAAACCGCTCATCATAAAGTAGAAGTACATCGGGAGCAGAAATGTGCAAAGATCATTTTTAAATAATCTAGACAACGAAATAGATAATAGGTTAAAATTGCACCTAGATAACATAATATATGACAAGTATATCTTTTTATCTATTGGTAAAATGTTTTCAGGCTAGATGTCTTCCAAAAGAATTGGTCGACGCAAATGTTTAAATCCGAAAAAGGTGTTACGCTCTTATCACTGATAAGAAACAACAGCTGGTAAGTGATTAGTGATAAAGTACAGTTGATAACAGATATCACAGCATGAAATTTCAAGACCGGATTTCAAAATTTTATGACTTGATACGATCAGATTTTTAAGTGATAATTTCAACCTAACCTATGAACCGATTTGACTAGCGGTGAGATGATCACTATTCTGACGCCAGATTTGGTTTATATTTTGGCTTAGTGTTGAGAGGGAGTGATCTCAAGAGAAGATCGGCCACAGTTGGACACGTTATTACCAAATATGAAAATTCAATTTGTTTCAAAATCCAAAAGAAAAATACAACATAACGGTATTTGTACTATATATTAATAATCTCGACCTTCGATCGACCGGCATGTGGTTGTGTCACGCTTGAATGGAGACATTCCTCGGCCGAATTTCCACAAAAAGCCACTACCTTAATCGCGCATCGTTACCGTTTATCTAATATTTTATTCTTTAACTCGTATATATATCTAATGCTTTATTCGATTCGTTTCGGGGTTCTCGCTCGAGCAAAGACAATACACTCGGTTCAATCGTCTGTGTAATGACGTGGTGTCATCCAATAGGTATTATACAATTTATAAAGCACCGGAAGCACCGGAATCACAAGTCGTAGAACACATTAGACCCCGTCCATTGTATATTAACGAATTCTCTTCAAGAGTTTTCATCGTGTCTTGGCACCACAGTTGTAATTACCCTCGACCGACTCGGTTCCCGGATATACTGTCATGGTGCCGAGTAAAGATTTTCCAAGCTCCTTAATAGGTTTTATTTTTTAATTTCACATAGCTGGAATTCGACTCGACCCCTGCTTTCCCATTAACTCCTCTATAACGGCAATTGCACCCGAAGACTTAGCGTTTAAAGTAATAACGAGTAACACCACGCGGTAAGACGATGCTGCGAGAGGTTTGAGTTAACAAAGGAAACACAACTACACAATATTAAAAGGCAACAGTTGTTTGCGTACTTAAACCGGCGAAAAAATGTTTATTATTATGTAAAGTACCTAACCGGGTAGGTTAGGAGATAAATTGACCTTATATAGTCAGAGTCGGGCAACAGTGTGCGGTTGAATATTGCTTGCACATAACAATAAATCTCTAACCTTCCTACTGTCTTAAATTTTTATCTTTTATGACTAAAAAAATTGGTATCGACCGGTGAAAATGTTTAGTAAACTTTTTTTGATTGAAAAAGTTAATGAAATATTTACGTTACCGTTCAAGTTTCAAAAGTAGATTGTAATTATGGTAAGGGGATGAGAGGATATCGCAATAAACTCCGAATAAGACAAAACGGATTTTAAAGTTATAAAATATAATAAGCATTAAGGTTTATCAAGCAAAAATTTGTCCTCCTCTTCTAGGAGAACTTTAATAATCATAAAAATGTTTTTTAGCTTGCACTCACAGATTTCTAAAAACATATCACCCTCCTTATCTCTTATCACCCATTCTTAGCTTTTATCACGCATCTTTATCTCTTATCAGCTATTTATATCAAACTTCCTTATCTCTTATCACCCATGTTTAAAAATAAGTAGCTTTGCAAAATAGTCATGTTCCGGGACATTGTGTGTACCGAGTGTAGGACACCTTTGTGGAGAGGCTGTAAATTTATTTCAACTCGTTTTCGCGTGCCAACAACGTACCTACGACAACGATTGCTGCTACATTTACAATAATATTATTATTGTATGGAAAGGACAGAGAAAAAAAGAGGTCTATCTGTGAGGGGGGGATGGGTACTTTTTTTTTTACGATCCCTTCGACTGAATCCGAACACGAGTAGTCCCCTCTGATTGGCATGCAAATACTGGGAAATCTGAAATTCCTCCGGCACACGTCTCGCCAATAAGCGTGTTTTCTATAAAGAAATCATGTAGTAAGAAGGGACGATTTTACGACGGAATATAAAAACAGCCTTAAAACGTTTATACCGTCAACTGTATAGATTTATACATAGACATTGCATATTATAGTACTAGGTACATAGTTTTTTTTGGTATATTATCCAGTTGTCTGAATCAAATCTATTATGTCATTGGACCATATGAATCCCTTGAAACCTTCCAATGTCAATATCTGTGGACGGTTACAGATTTCATTGCCATTGTAGGCGTTTTGGCCAGTAGAAAATTGGGCGAATAATTATAACTCTGAATACGGTGGTCGCGTTTAAATACACAATAATATTTACTACAAGACGAATAGTGGTGGTCGGGTGGACTTTAGAGAGATTTGCTGGAAATTATGTTTTCCAAACGAGAGAAGTTTGGAATAAATTGCATTTCTAACGGGTCGGGACCCGCGACAAAGTGTACCGAGGGGGTTTAAGAATTAATTATAACGACTGTGGCGGTAAAACGGCGACAATGGAATTTACTTACATTATTATCCAAGCCAAAACTTGTTAAAGGGACCCCGTGACGGTATTCCACGTTGGCCATACAACGGTTGTGTGTGCTGTCGGTGGTGGTGTTGTGGGGTAATGTTATTCCAGTGTAAATGTGTCAAATGCTAATCGTTTTTGGAAATTTTGGCACTTTAACTAACGAGCGATGACAGCGGCAATCCATATATTTTGCGTCGTCGTGGAATATTGTTTTGGCTTATCGGAGTGAATTAGATTAGAATGTCAGACATTGATTAGACAGTAAAATACTACACGGTTGACTTGACGTTCAAAACGTGACCACAGATATATACAGGGTAAAGGTAAAAAATATCAAAATAAAATCATTTTTAAATAAAAGAAATAATGTTTAATATTTTGAATAAAAAGCTAGTTATTTTCTCCGCTCCGAGGAAATCATTGAATCATTATAAATGTTATCTCTTATTTCTAATATCTTATCTTTTATAAGTTATCACTTATCTCTTATCAATAATATATTATCTATAACTGACAAAATATAAAAGATAAGATACAAAATGTAAGTGATCATGTAGATTAAATGTTTTTCCATGGAGCGGAGAAAATAACTAGGTTTATTTTTTTAAATGAATATTAAATGTAGTTTTTGATTGTTAAACATAATAAAGATTTAACTAGCGATTTTTTTTGTAGCTAAATCCATTATTTTATATTAAAAAAAAATACTGTAATATAAAAATTAAACAACCCTGTTATATATATATAATACAGTAGGTTGCTGTCATACGTGGACCAGGCCTTTGTGTGAATTTTGGGGGGAAGTATCTCATGAATATTTAATGATATTATAAAAATACTGACAAATGTTTACACATTCGTGAGGCATAGGACATCGGTACGTGACAAGTGTATATTTGCTACAAAAACGCTATACATAATATTTTATCTTCAGTAATGGATAGCCGGATTAATTTGAGTGACAAAAAAATACCCGGGTCCAGTTTTGATATAATGTCATGAGGGTTTTGTTTAAATGATATTTTGTAATTTTTATTTATTCACTTTTTTACACCTACACGATAATAAAAGGAAAATACGTTTATACCCCAAACAGACACGAACACGTTTACTTTGAATAAATAAACAGTATTTGTTAAAAGTGACAGCTGATTGTAGTTAATGTCAACATTTTATAGTATTTATAAAACTGGAGTTCAACTTTAAATACCTATAAATTACTTAATTCTCAAAATAGGTAGATATATTTTGTCTTGAGGGATATACCGCAGTTGGCCGGTTTCTTTTTATCAGGTTATTAATCATTACATTATTATTTAAACATATAATAGGAAAAAAACTATTCTTAAAATATTTAAGAATGCTTCGTTATTTTGAGTTTGGTTGAAAAACGTCGAAGAACAATATGTTTTTAGACCTATCAATTTCTTAGCATCTGACTCCCACCATGCTTATCACTTTCTTATCATACATGTTATCAGTTGATTTATCCTTATCAATCTTTATTTGCAGTAGAGATTGAACTGCTGTCTACTGGTCACGATCGAAGTTCGCTATAATTACAGTTTAAGTGAAATAATCAGATAACTCAAACGCCGACATTTCACACATTAACGCGTTCCAAAGGCGATTATTATTGCAAACAATAAGATATTATCTCCCGGCACATTGTCCAAACTCAGAGATGCGTCTCTGAGTTTTGTATGCGAGCCAAGAATCCAAATGAATCACAAAACCGTTGCTGGTCCACATTACCTAGGTATACATATACAACAGCTGTACACGGTTTTACTCTGGCCTTAATCGAATTTATCCCTATTAATCAATACGCGGGTCATGTTCTCCGGACCGTTTGTTGATACGTTTAGCGCGTGATTGCCCCGCTGTCGCCGAATAATAATAATACATTATATGCTACCAAAAAGAGACCGGAGGGGAAGGCGAAAAGGGGAAACATGTAACAGACATTTTCGGGTCAGCAACCACGACGGCACTCGTAGGTATACAATAGGAAAAAAACGAGACGGATCAATAAAATGGAAAATTATAAAAAAAGCTATACATATTATGGGTCGGGAGGGTTACTAGTCTACAGGAATTTGAAAACTGAATTTGATAAAATAATTTTCGAAGCGAATCTATAGGTGGTAGGCAAGGTTACGGGGGTATTTGCAATAAAAGTGATGTAAATTTTAAAAAAATAACGAAAAATGATTCGTTTCATGTTGCATATTGATGATGATGTTTCGAGGTTTATCCACAACAGTGGTCCAATTTATCCAATTTATGTGACAACGCACTTAAAAAGCCACCGAAATGAGCAAATTATTTTAACTCTACAACGGATTTACCCCGAAGTAGAATCAAACGTTCGATAAAGCTTTGGAGTCAGCATCTCATATGAGATAATCGTTGACAAAGAGAAATTAATTGATAACAGACACAAAGCGATAAAAATTACGATTGATAAGGAGACATCATAGTGATAAAAATTACGATTGATAAAGAGACATTATGCCACAGACTTCTATACTAACTGGATAAGGTACTCGGGGCGTTTTAAATTGGCGGTAGTGAAGGCAAGCTTATTACGCGACCACCATGTTTTCGGTTGGCAAATCATTTATTATCACATAGAAGCTATATAATATTTTTAATATGTGTTTAATAACAAAAAATAAATAATAAGTAAAGACCTTTATTATGTGGGTACGACATTTGCCGTAATCGGTAATACACTTCATAGTAAAAAGATGAAACGTTCTGCCAACCCAAATAACGGCGCGTACTGTTTATGATGCTCCATGTGATAACAGGAGTACCTTATCTAGTTAGTATAGAAGTCTGTGCATCATGCTTACAAGAGATATGATAAGAACGTGATAAGAGACAACTGATAAGAGTAAAAAGGGTTATCAATATTCGACGTTTTTGGGTTTAAACTGAAATTGTGATTTTGTTGCGGTTTTATATAATGTAAGTATGTGTTGGTGATTTTTAGACTTGTACCGAATTTTAAAAGTTCAACGTATCACACGAGGTTTTACTCGGTCGTCGTTAGGTTTAGCACGGAGGAAAAAACAAGAGAATTCAACCGGTGTCGGTCGAAACGTTATTAATTAGCGATTAGCCGGCGGCAGGTTTTAAACCTTTCCGGGATCATTTATACCGACACACTCGTCCACACGTGTGAAAGTTATCTTTTTCTCGAGAATAATAACGATATTATAAACGACGACGGTGGAAACCCCGACGTTTAGCAACAGCTGCTGCGAGCTTTTATATTATATACACTGTGTACAGTGTGTTCCAAAAGTGGCCGCATGCTCAAAACACAATTAAAGCACCGTTTTCTTATGGGCCGACAGTGTAATTTTAAATACGTTCAGATTTCGTCAAGTACACTGCCCTTTTAGCCGTAAAACTCGGACCGAACAATTTGCTTTGTTATAATATAGTCAAATTAAATGTATATTTTCACAGACTTTTGGCACACACTGTAAGTGTGGCCGAGCACCGTTATTAGAGCACACACACTCGGTGTGGTAGTTAACGAGGTGGCACAGTATTAACGTGTTATTATTATTACTCGGGACCCAAGTTGGCGTTAAACCGTAAAAACATACAATAATAATAATATATTTCTCAAACTCACCCTGCTGGCACAGGCGGTAACGTTCTGCTGACTTCGCGACTTGTCACGTCTGTGAGTTTTGAAATTCCGCAAGAACCTCGTCAGAGTGATTTTTTTCTTGCCGGGTCGATCTGAAAACCACACAAAACAACAACGTTTCATTACGGCTAAAAAAGCTTACAACGTGTACACTTTGAAACAAAACCACACTCATATTTAGCCGTTATATTTTAACACACACAGTTGGCATAACTCCAAACCGAGCAAAGTTATTTGAATGAAAATACAGTTAATTGAAGGATTCAGTTGAAATCAGTTGAATTCAATTGATTCCAGAATTTCCCTTATATAAATTTTACACTGTCCCTTATCATTAATCTCGGTTGATTATCCTTTATCACTTATTTTTTATCAATAGACTATGGTAACCAAACATTTTGACCTCAAAACCAACCGCTTTTCCACAGGATCAAAATTAAAAGTTACGTTATTAAAATTTTTTCCGAGAATATGTTTTATCCTCCTTGGAATTCGTTTATCACGTTTTTGACTTTCAGATTGTCAATCCAGCATCTCTTATCACAGATATATACATAATAAACTAGATTGATAACAAACTAGTGATAAGAATTGAAGTCGACGTCGGCCATTTATGTGGGATTTATGTGTGTATTTATCAATATATATATTTCTGGGTTTTAGTGCTATCAACTGAACTTGTAACTGTTTAAAACAATGATAACAGTTGATAAACATGTGATAAGGTTATAATTCCTAGAAAGATGGCGGAAAATGGTAACTTCAATCATCTCTAACGGCGGCGTGCACACTTAGCAATCTAGTTTATTATATATATATATATTTGTGTCTCTTATCAATAATCTCTTTAAAACTTTTGATAAAGGATCAGTGATAAGAGAGGTCAATACCTTTTTCGAAGGGCATATTATATATTATCGGTTGCTTGTTACCTTAAAAAAAAAAAATAAACGTCATATACTTTTTGACGTGAAGATCTTTCGGAGGACAATACAAAAGTCTCACATTTTCGACACTTTAGGTTTAGCGACCGACGAGGGTCGCACCACGAGCTCCTTTTTTCCTCGTTTATTTTTTTTTTTTTGACGGGAGGTGGGGAAGATAGGACGTGTGGATTTTTTTATGCTGCCACTTTATTAAAAGGACCTCGTCGTCATACCTGTCGATAAACTGCCGCTTGTGCACGCAGCACACGGGTCTGCGGACCGTTTTTTTTTCTTCAAATTTATTATTTATGTTACACTTCACCGAGGCGAAAAAAACACTTACCGCCGGGTAATATGCAAAAGCCAATATTCGGGAATAAATCAACTTCGTCATCCTTTGCCACACGGTCGACCATTGTAGCGTTTCGGGGAAACCCGTAACGCAGTAGCCACAAACTCTCCCACTGTTTTTCCAATCTCTCCCTTTCCGGCTGTCTGGATACATTTATAAATATACACACACACACACACCCGTCGAGTTGTTGCCGTTCGGCGGCGCCCCGAGGGATGCAGTCTAATTTCCATTTAAATTTTATTCCTCTCTTGCCGACACGGCCACCTCCTCTTCTCCGCCTTGCCTTTTCCCGGATAAAATACATTTGGAGTATCCTTGGGAAAACCGCGAAATTGCCGAGTTTTTCAACAGGATATAAGGTGCTCGACCGCATGGAAACGAACAGAGAGGGGCGAATAGCTGCTGGTGGTCTTCTTTTCCACCGTCTCTATTTAGATTGGGCCGAAGACCGGCAATAAAATATATTATTATAACACCCCCGGCGTTGTTTGTGTAGGTATATAATAATATTTTAATACCGTTCATAACGTCGTTAATCGCACCGAACGAACGGAAAGCCAACGAAGAGAATAGCAAAAGAAAACAAATATTAGAGAATTTGAGCATGTTTTATGGCAGTTCAACGACTTTTCAGTGTTGTGCTTGGCTCTTATCAGCCGATTCTATTGTAAATAATATATATTCAGTTATCCAGGAATTAACGGTTCCTTTTTTTATCACCATCGCAACTGATGACATCACTAGTTTACTACCCCTTCCGAATAAGCTACACCAGATTAAAACAAAACAAGAGGAACTTTAGGAAAATTTATCGGATACGACACTCGATAGCGATAAGTTTGATGGTTGTCAATGAGAAATGAGAGAAAGCATTTGATAAGATAGGTGTTAGCGATAAGGATGATGACTGATAAGAGATATTCGAGTGATTAAACGGAAACAATTGAATCATAGATATGCTATCTCTTATCATTTATCTATTATCACTAATCACTTCTTTTATCTCTTCTCTTATCACGTGAAAGTGAAAGTGTAACGCGAAAATGGCAACATACAATTTCTTGTGTCTAGCCCAACAACATATCCTTGTTAAAATGTAATATTATATTTTATTATGATTTATACATTTGTCGCCTTTCCAACATGTTGCTTTATTTTCTTAAACGGTCAATCGAGACATCTAAACAATTAATTGGAGAAAGTATGTAAACAAGCACCATATCCTGGAATATGATGTTTCCCGGCAACAGAAAATATTTTATAGTGTTACTCAGCGTTTAAAAATACTTGTTTATTTTATGATATTTACCTGCAGGAGGGAATTCGTAGAAGTACGCCGATCTCGGACTTAAGCACCTGAAACAATTTAAATATTTACAAAATTAGAAGACTGGTTAATGACATAATAACAATAATAATAAACAAACTATATAAACATATTATGCAAATAGTGTTTTTTTGTCCTGACATTTAGTATCGTTAATTACTTTTTAACATTTTAACCATCATACGCCGTAAAATTATACTTTTGTAAGTCTCGTTTCCAAGAAGTATTGCCGCAAAAACTTCAGCCCACCTTACCCCGAACTTTTCGAGAAATTTGGTTTTTTTTAAAGTTAGTGTAAGAAAAATTACCACGCAACTTAAAAGAGATAATTGAAGGTGTCCACGAATATAAAAAAAAAAAAAATACACCAAAAAGTAGTTTCATTTCAACTTATCGCGCCGTTGTTTTTCAAAAAGAGACATTGAATAAGCTTATTGTATTGAAATAGATAGTTTTACAGCGTTGTCTTTTCTTATCAATAAATTATATCTTATCAGCCTATTATTTATCACACTTGTGGTTATCATAGATCTGTGGTGATAACAAATTACAGATAACAATAACAATTTAGAATTGATACTAAAAACTGATTTAAGTGAATAGTATAGTTTTTGTTTTATTCTGAAATTATTTCAAAACCTTAAAAGTATTTTATAAGTAGAGTTATAAGTATTATTTTGGGTTAAGTAACATTTATAAGAAAAGTTCGCCGTCGTATTCCAAGTTGGTTATCCGGTTGTTAGTAGGTATATTTTGCGTTTAAACTATTATAAGTCGACGTGAAGTTAACGAATTTTGAGTTACATATTTATTTAGCCAAGAAAAAATTCATAGATTAAGATTTATCTGCTTTTGCCTAACGACTATATATATATTTTAAACATTTTGAAACAGTTTTTGTAGATAATCCCGGGCTGGACCATAGGCCAGTTAGCGTTTTGGCGACCCATTTGGGTTTTACACCAATGATAAATGCTACTAATTAAACGCGTTAATCATTGCTCGGCCGTCGATGACAAGCCGCAGCAGCTTGTGGGTTGGTCGCCCAAAAGCTTTTCGGTTTTTTAATAAAACAACTCCGGTACAAAGCGATTAATATTATATTGTGTCATTAAATCATGCGTGCCATACTGATACGCCCTGGCCCCGTATATTGTTTCTCACCGACAAATAATATTTATTACATACTATTCTTGTTGAAATTAATTAGCGGAATGTATTCAAATATAATATAATAAACATACTAAAGTATATTTGCAAACCTAACCTAACCTTCATTACTGGTGAAAAAGCATTATATTCACACTAAAAATTCATGTTTAACAAACACAGTTTAAAAAAATATGTTGAAATCTACTAGCAAATGTTTGTGTTAGGACGCAGTTTTTATCGGTCATTGTTAGGCTAATAGAACTCTCTTATCACCTCTCAACTGTTATCATCAACGACGTCTTATCAGTAATCCCTTTCGGACTGGAATATACAACATGATTTTTGTGTTTACCATTGCTGGTACCTAATGTATATAAAATATAAATAAACGTATTTAACCGAAATAATAATAATAATAAACTCGAGATAACGCGCAGTTTGCAGAGTTGTTTGGTAAGTTTTACGCTCGTTTCACGGACGATAAATTTCAAAGACGTTGTCGGAAAAAAAAATTATACATTATCGCGGTTGTAGTAATAATAATAATATGACATGATGGATGGATGAATTTTGTATAAAAAACAACAACACAAAATACACATATTATCCGACTTTTACACGGCCACGACACTTTGGGGGGGAAAGCTTCTTTCGTTGAAAATGGCCCAGATAAGAGGCGGGTTCCCAAGAAGGATTTACAAGGGGAGGTGGCGCGCACAAAAAACTATAATATTATCAGTGAAAAACAAAAAAAATGTAACCAAACAAGTCCTCGAATAACGATAATACATGTACAACAACGTCTTGGACGGTTCGCTTGTTATTCTGGTGGCGATGTGAGCCTTTGTGCTGAGCAAACGCGAAGAGAATGCCAGCAAGGAATATTCCTTACTATAACAAGGGAAACGTTTGATGTACACACCTACCACAGAGAGATGAGAGACGTCTATGCTAGTGAAATAACAATATTACATTAACGATTAACGAGGATCTGGACCGTGAATAATAATAATAACGATAATAGTAATTATAAAGGGATTATAAAGGCACGTATGGCACAGTATTTACACTGTGCCCACACACCCGAATGTGCATAGATAGATATAATATTAATTTTCGACTATGCTGTAATGCAAACAAGAGCAACGTCGCGTACGCTTTTGATCGCCGAAGACAGTTGAATAAAATAACAATAGAATATTGTCAAAATGTTTTCCCTCCACAAACACTTTAGTTGTCTTTTTACCGACAGAAGACAAATTTAATAGTTTTATAGCTACTGGAGTCTGAAAAATATTTTCATTTTAATGTTTAATTGCCTTTTGGTGGTAACAAAGACAACAAACTATTATGGAAAATACCTAATCGTATCCATCCTATAATACTCAAAACAAAAAACTTTATAGCACTTTATAGCTTTTAATATTCTTTTATTGATTTTAGTTATCTTAATTTATTAAATTTTCTTTACTATTAAGACACCACGCATCTAATTTATGTATTATTCCTTCGTCGCATACAATTACATATAATACATATCCAACAATCAAAGAGAGTACAGGAAAAATGGCGATTTCGGTGACATAAAATTACTTTTGACTTTTCTGTTTTACTTACAAAAGACACTAAATACGTTTATCAATAAATTATACATGTGAACGAAGATGTTCATTTTTTTCGTAATATCTGAAGGAATATGACAATATAAAAACAATCGGTTTCTTATTTTTGTTTAAGTACCGTTTTTTAATAGTTAAGTATGGTGTGTTTTTAATTTTTGATTTAAAAATAGAACCATGTACACGCTTATGCTAAATTATTTATAGACATTTTTAACTTAAACTTTAGTAAATATTTAAACAACTTTTGTGGTGTACACCTTGTGTCGAGTTGCAATAAAAGACAAAAAAGGTTAAAATGTTATCTTTGATTCGTCAACGTTAAGTTAAGCAAAGAAATTAAAACAATTGTTTTTAAAAATATTCAAAACGGTTTTACATATTTAGACAAAATAAATAATTCTTCTTTTTAAAGTTAACGTTTTCTCTCTTAATTTTCCAAATGGTTATTATGGGTTTTGTTTCAGCTCGTTAATTCGTACAGATATCCATTAAACTTTTTCCCAAACAGTTTTTCTACGACCGTGTATTTATACCAAACAAACTTTAAGTATATAAATTAAAGGATTTTTTTTTTTTTTTTTCGTTTACTTAAGGTTTTAATTTTTGACACGGTTCACAGCCAGGTAGTTATAATAAAAAAAAAAGGCATAAACGTACATTTTATAACGACAAAAGTTCTACTTTTATTTAAATCAAAAAAGAAAACGGATCGATACTATTCGAGTCGTTAAAGGAAAAAAAAAAGTAGGGTATATTATGTATTAAAATATTACTATATGTTTCATTATTTTTTCCGCTTTATAAACAATAATAATATTATATCCGTCGACTTGTATAGTAGTAGTTCTTTTATGTAGACCGTAAAAATAATATAAATCCGAAGTATATTATAATAACGAATATTTTATGCGCCTGTCGTTACGAGAAAAAAATAATAATAAAAAACTAAATCTCCATAAATCGTGAAAATATAAAAGGGAAAAGTTTTTTTTTCTTATTATAACAATAATAATAATTACTATTGAAACGCTGCGCGATGGCTTTTGGACTTTGGGTCTCCACTGGTGGGGGGGTTGAGCGATAAACAATACATTTTGCCTTCAAGGCCTTCGGGGCTTGTTGTAATCAATTTAGCTGAGTGTGAATAATTATTGTGTTTAAACGAAGAAAAGAACTGAGAAAATGCGCAACAACAGTAGTTTACTCGGAAAGAAAAAGTTAAAAAAAAAAAAAAAATTACTCGGTACTTTTTGTTTGGTCTTTCTTGAAAATTGTATTTTCAAATATATTTTTGCATACTCAAGAGATTGGGCACGATTATTAATCCAGGATTACTTGGAATGGTTTTTTTGATTAATCTAAATAATCCAACAAGCACTGGCCAAGAGATCAAGGGATATTAAAAATCTTAAAACTTAAAATTAGTGCTTTTCGAAAAATCTACATTTATTTTTTAGCGAGAGATTGTTGAAAAAATAATAATTATAAGTGTAGCACTAATTTTAAGTTTTTAGAAACCCAAGCTCCCTCCCCCTGATCACCACCATGTATCCAGAATTAAAAACAATCCTTTATTCCATCAGGTCTGATTAATGGATTACGAATATTCCAATATGGATGGATTACATAATATATTTCTTCAATACAGCAAAAATGATAATACAGTAAAACATTAATAATATTGTTGTAACCTGTGAATGGTTTTTTTTTAAATTTATCAAAAGTACAGAAACGGTATAATATATCATAGACAGGGTTCTAAAATGTCGTGAAATTTTTCATTTGGGAGAAAAATACAAAATAGTAATCCGTAGTACATTTTGTTGGACAATTAAAATTAATGTAATCCTCAAATTTGTCCGTTAAAAACTACAATTTAACAATAGAAAGTATTATAAAATGTAAAAATTCATCCCTTGTGTTCGGTAAGACTAAATTCCATAGGAATGATAATACCATAGTTCACTATATAACCACGGTTATGGCTTACATACCGTTGGTACAAAAAAGTTGGTATACCACGATAACGATTTAGGTTACTCGTTTGTTTTATTTTAAAATGAAACAATGTGATAACGCAAAATTCAACGGTATCATTTCGATAGAACTGAAATGTACTAATAGATTTTTCATTATCATTATCATTAATTCATTTGCCACCTTTGCCGAGCTGATTTAGATAGTCATTTTAACAAATATATAGTTATTTATTATACAGTTTTGTTCGGCTTTTATTATACACAAAAATCATTTTT